AACGGTGTCTATTATTTACACTCTCAATATTTTCTTCTTCTCTCTTTCTTTTACGTCTTTCTCTATTCTTCACTTTTTTGGCCGACAGCACCATGATTTCACCGACAAAAATGTCTAATGGGGGTTGTGGACACCTCCACCCCCCTGCAGCGACGCCCATGGTATCGTCGGCTCTTCAGGACCGCTTTGGTGGTCGGTCGTATTGCTGGTTACGCGTACGATAGCTGCACGCATCACAATGCGCAGCAGGGACCCTTGACCCATATAACTTCCTGATGACATTTTGCCGATATCGTTCGACTATTGACGTCCGCACGTTTTTTTTAGTGCACAGTCGTAATGGATTTGGTTACTACGAATCAACCACAAATCGAGCAGTGAATTGTGCAACTGAAGGGACATTGCGAATGCGCTCAATTGGGCTACAAAACGTATTTTAATGAAATTATATTAAATGGAAAGAGCATTTAATAGTAAGACATAAACGTCTACACAACCATCATTTAAAACTGGTTATTTTTGTGTGATTCTTGCGTGAACCATGCGACAACTAATTTTGGGTGTCAAAATAGTGAGTCTCAAAAATAGAGCTGTTGAGTGCTAGTTGTGAATCTGGCATGACACAGTGTATTGTATAATGCGGACGTGCGAGAAACAACATTTGTGTTGGTACTTTGTGTATTGTGACACACACGACTTGAACTGTACATTGAATGGAAACGGCGGGAAATGCGTATATGTATGCCACAGCAGTCCACCGCGTGCGATGTAAACAACTGTTCATCCGTCTTTTCTCAAGAACGGTAAGACATTAGGTTAGTTTCCTTTCAACCATACATTTGAAATAGTAAAAAGAAACATCCCTAACAACATAATAATTTCGTGAATTTCAGGCCGTATAATATCCCTTAAACCCTAAAAGGGCCAGGTTATTTGGACCATCTCTCAGCCCCCTAAGATGTCGGCCATCGAGTGACGAAAATTTTTGAAACTCAGTACATGCACTTACCATGAACATACCCAAGAAATTTCATGACTATAGGTCAAAGGATTTTGGAATTATGGCTAATTAATTATTCATATGCACGAATGCTCTGTGTACACTACGTTTATGGGGAAATTCAGTTTGCTTCGGAATTTTTTTAAAATGTTTTTGGTATCAAAAGATGGGCAAGGCTCGTAGCTAAAAAGTCAGACGAACAGCTCGGGTCGCGACATTCTTTTTTCAAGGCTATCGCGGAAAAAGTTGAGGGGGGGGGGCGGATTCCGCCCGGCCCTTTAGGGTTAAACAACTGTCTTTCCTTTGAAATGGCTGTACGAAGTATAACGTGGTTAGTCTGAAATACAAATGCTTACCTTGAGTATTAAGCCTGGCCCTGGATGGGGCGTGGCTAGCGAGGTTTCGCCAAAAAGACGAAGCTGTGATGCGTTCATCCCGGATGCGACCATCTTCCATCCCGAGAGGTCCCTCCACAGAGCAAGAAACGTCATCTGAGGAAAAATGTGCGATTGTTTCGAGAACAGGTTTTGTACCGAATCCCATTTTAATAAAAAAGAAAAAGAAAATAGTAATGGGTCTTTTTCCGCAACCCAGAGTGCTTCCAATGTCAATTAAAATTATGAAAGGGAGCCCTCTATCTTGCCCGCCGTTACAGGGACGCATTTGAGTCCCCCCATTTGCATGTCGCTGCCGCGTATTATCGATCGGTACTACTGATGGCGGGTGCATTCATGATCACAAAACAAGTTGAATGAAGTAGCACACGATTAACTTCAAAATTATGTATTTTTGTCTATACTATTTTCTTTAGTTTGATCTCTCATATCATATTGGTGGTGTGATTGTTTTACTTCAAGAAGCTATGTCAACAGATAAAGAAAAACATCCGGACGTGTCAAAAATACTAAATACACGAAATTTGGATAGTCAAGACAAAAGTCAGAGAAAACGGTAACGTAGGACCACACACTACAGCGATATCGACATTGTGCATGAGCTGCCACGCTGGTCATTAGTCTGCTAATTGCGCTAATTAAAAAGCGTTTACATGTTCCAGATACATGACCATCACTCCCTCAGTCTGGCTGCCAGACGCACAATTACAAAAATTACAACAACGTCTGCATATGGTGCCCGACTACATTTATTTAGTACAAAACGTAAGGGAGCCCAGAGAGGCCACATAAAGCTTTTACTTGATTGTAACCTCATGCCTGCCTCGTCTCCTTCCTAAATGCCAATTGCGTTTGCATGAGTCGAGATGATAATTGTCCCAAATTTGCATATTACAACTTGCGACACAAAGGTCAGGTCATCCACACCAGATGCGAGATGTGAGAGGGCAGATGGGGAACACCTTAGTAGCGCGAATTTCACTTTAATAGTGCGCCTAGGCTCGTTTGAACGAGAGACATATTTATTTATAAGATAAATAAGTCGTTTAAACCAGATAAAAAAAAAAAAAAAAAAAAAGTCGTTTAACGAGAAAATAAGCAGTTGATTAAGATAATAAAACGAGATTCTTTGAGTGGGGGAATGAACCTCGGAGAAAAATAGGAAAAAATATCGATTAAAAGATCTTACTAATTTAAATGACCAAACGATGAAAGCGATTGCCCATAAGCGAATAGGAAACGAAAAGCATGGTTATACGTTATAAGCGCACAGATGTTCGCTAATTTGAATGCGTCAACCGTCAAAATATTGCAAAGACTTAATTTCAGACTGCTACGAGTTAAGTCTTGAATGCACCAAAACGAAATAGGCTGCCCGAAAACGAAAACGAACATTCACAGCAAAATCTTGGCTGCCTAAAAATGAAATTGAATGAAACCCAAATGAAAAAGAAACCCTAATTGGACCACATGTGCAAAACTCACGCGAAATTGAATGGCTGATATTGAAACTGATTAGAAAAATTCGGAAATTCGCCGGGAAAACCTATAGTTCCCTTTCAACCAGACCTTTGAAATAGGATAAGTATTAATCAATCCAAAACATGACATTTTCGGGGATTTCAGGCCGCAATTTCCATTAAAAACGCTAAAATCCACGAATACACGAGAAAGTTGCATGCCTTATTTCAATAATTATGACTCGCCAGGGGGACTTTAATAGTTCTGATTGATTGATTGATTGATTGATTTGGTTGATTGCCATTTATATACAGTGGCATACAATAGAAGGTGTCGTGGTTTTTGTGCTCAAAATATTAAAATACATTCAACTTTACATTACAAACATTAAACTATACCACATAATTTAAGTTAATTCCCCCTTGAAATATCTCCCTATAAAAGTATTGGTCATTAACAAGACAAACGAATTATTACACTGTAATGTAACAAGTGCTTTGACTAGCCCGCCGCTGTATTTACTCGCATTTGGCTAGCGGGCTACCACTAAGCTCGAACCATTAATATGCCTACTTGGCAATCTCCCCTCCCTCCCCCCCCCCCCCCCCCCGGAGATTCGTCTGTCGACGCAGCTGTGCCCTCCAAATCCTGACTAGAAATCGCCGCCATTGGTGCGTATCCGGTGGGTTACCCCAAGGGTTACCAAAACTCTGTGATGAAAAAACATAAGTTCATGGAGTAATCCGCTTTCAGGGTTTTTTTTTATGTTGGCTCTGCTTTTCAGTGAACTACACAATTGAAATGTCATGGATAATTTGACTAAATTTATTTATTTTTATCGATGCCTAATTGACATTTGGGCAAGAAGACGAGGTAGAAGGCTAGCAATTAATGGTTGTGCCTCTTTTGTGTATTCTCCCGGAGTAACTGCATCATAAATGAACGAGTCTTACTTTATGATCAAATTGATGAGAGGATAAAATATTACAAAAAAGGCCTTGGCAATGTTACGGTCTAAGAAACTATAGGTTTTCCCGGCTATTTAAAAACATTTTCATTCAATTTCATCAACTCTAACATTCAATTTCGTCCGAGAAAAATTTCACATGCTTAAAGAAAACCACTTAAATTAGTCATTTACCATTCAATTTCAAAGTTTGGTCACCCTCTTTAGTCACTGGGTCGAGAATATTCGACATTACAGGTCAAATTCATCTAAGCTGTTTCCGAATGGTAGCATTCAGAGATCGAATTCGTCTTATATAAATCAATTAGACGAATTTGATTCTGAATAACAAGCTAAGGTTTTGCGTAGACGAGACGAGATCGAATACTCCGGGACGAAAACGTGTAATCATTGTTTTAATTTGCTTGTATGAACTGAATTAGAAATTGTCTGACAAAAGACAAAATTAAACATTGGAAGTGCACTAAATGGATGTTGATGGACGAGTTTGAATATAGGTTTTCCCAGCGAATTTCCGAATTTTTCTAATCAGTTTCATTATCAGCCATTCAATTTCGCGCGAGTTTTGCACACCTGGTCCAATTGGGGTTTCTTTTTTATTTGGGGTTCATTCAATTTCATTTTTAGACAGCCAAAATTTTGCTGTGAATGTTCGTTTTCGTTTTAGGGCAGCCTATTTCGCTTTGGTGCATTCAAGACTTAACTTGTAGCAGTCTTAAATTAAGTCTTTGCAACCTTTTGACGGTTGACGCATTCAAATTAGCGAACATCTGTGCGCTTATAACGTATAACCATGCCAGTTTTCGTTTCTTATTCGTTTATGGGCAATCGCTTTCATCGTTTGGTCATTTAAATTAATAAGAATTTTTAATCGACATTTTTTCCTATTTTTCTCCGAGGTTCATTCCCCCCTCCTAAAAAAAAAACCAATCTTGACGACTGTAAATTTTACAAAGTTACTTGAGGGAAACAAGATGCAACGAAATAATTAATTGAAAGGGACTAAGATAATTTCTTTTCCTTGTTGATCTTTTCTACTTGTTGAAACGTTTGATCAAGGGGTTTTGTTACGTTGATGATTTCTTGACGTGCAAGACATCGGAACACGTAATATGTTTGGAAATGGTTGTACCATCGGGAAATCTTCTCTTGCGTTATTTCTTGAATGTTTTCTTGCGTATGTCTGACCGAACACTTACCATATTCATAGGGCCCATGCAAAGTTTTCAATGCAATACATCTTTGTGTCACATTTAACCTTATTTGCAAGTTTTATTTTCCATTTTGAGGGGCGTTTTTGGTGCCTTCTCCGTTTTTATGCTAATGCAAAGTTTCATATTCATGAGAAAACCTGTGATGGTATTCCGAGCATGATTAATGTTACACGGCTATTTCAGCAAAAAAAATTGCTAGAATTTTGGATATTTTGCTGTCATAAATTTCTTTTATTTGGTGATTATATGTTGTGTCAGTACATGGCAGTAAGCCAATGACCAACCCTTTCCCACAAATGTTTTCAATTAGCAAATTTAGGATGAATAATTTGAAAGAAAAAAACCTCAACTGAACAGTGTCTTCCTGAAATGACATCACAGTAACAGCGTTAGTCCGGAAAAACATGGAAACTTTTAAATGCTTAAAGAAGTGCACCTTTGCAATAAGATTAACCAAAAAAGTGTTGTCAAATGTGTAGTTTTCTTACATTTCACAGAGTTGCGCAAAAAGAATTCCTGAGAAAAAATTCATTGCACATACCCTTTAAGAAAGAAAGTCAATCTACGGTTTGAAGTCATCAAATATATGATTTGCGCTAAGGAATACGGACACGTATGAAGTCTTAAAAGATGTTTGACAAAATGTGAAACATGTTTGCCCGTTAGGAAGCCTAACACACTGCTTAGTTTAGGGTTTTTTCTTTCAAATTATTCATCCAAAATCTGCTAATTGAAAACATTTGTGGTCGATGGCTTACTGCCAATTTGACCACATGTGCAAAATTCACGCAATATTTAATGGCTGATTATGAAACTGATTTGAACAAATCGGAATTTCTCCGAGAAAACCTTTATTGAAAAGGAGGGCCTATTCTTGGCTGACTTCTTCATACTTTAAAAGGCATTGATCCAATGATTGTCTTCATACTCATTAACGAACGACTGAATTACCCCCTCTATCAGTGCCTCCCTGTCTCATATCGTTTGAACATTTTTTACTTCTTCCAAATATCATTGCTCCCTGTTACTTTCGGATCAGGAAGATGTACATGGATGTACACACTATGAGGTCTCAGTCAGTCTCTTGTAATTCTGATTCTACTGGCCTTGCATTTAAGTGCACAATCATCATTAAAAATGCCACCGATTTAGAATCGTACGAGCTTTTCTTTCTTTTTCCCGGACCGTCATTCTCAGCGACTTTTCTTCAATCTGTTCTCAGCAGGAACTTGAGACGTGGAACGAAAATCAACCCTGATACAGAGGGCACGTCATTTTGACGTCATCAGGAATCACATTACCAAATTATCATATTTAACAAAATAAACAATGAACAAAATACACAATCATATTAAAGGTTTTCCCGGCCAATTTCACCAAGTTTTCATTCAATTTAACGCCTGGCTCATTCGATTTAGATTGAAATTGAAAGAACACGCAGATCGACATTGACA